TTTGGACTGTGGGAGGAAGCTGGAGTACCCGGAGAGAACCCACGCAGGCACAGGGAGAACATACAAACTCTGCACAGGAAGGCATCGGGTCGGCCCGAGCTTGAACACAGAATCTTCTTGCTGTGAGGCAGCAGTGCTAACCACTGTGTCACCATGCCACCCTTACATATAAATAATATGTATATAAACCCTACTTTTGGTTTATATGCAAACATCTAAACTCCACGCAGGAAGGCACCGGATCAGCCAGAACCTTCTTGTTGTGAGGCAACAGCTCTAACCACTGCTCCACCATACCGCCCTGATATAGATAATATACAGTATGTAATAAAATATATAATAAAACTTGCCTGTTCCTTCCTCTTCCATGTTGGCCCTGATATCTAGTTCATCTCGAAGCACCTTTTGATCAATTTTTGTGAAAGTTGACATCTTGAAGGTAAAAGTGGCACAGCCTTTCTTGTCCGTCTATAAAGTACAATTAAATAAAAATAAATAACACAAACACATACATGCAATAGATTAAATCACAAATACCCTTTAAACAAATAACAGCACTTGGGACTTTTGAACTTGTCGGTATAACAATTGATCAGTCCGCTGATGGACTGAGCCAATATTTGGCATTTTTAGATAATTTGCATTGGCTGATGTCTGCTCTCATGAGGCTGAATAACAAAAGATGTTTGCAGACACACCTGCTGGCAGCCTTGTCAGGGTGGCTGCTGTTAACACTTCCCCTTGTGGCAGTTTTGCCATTCTACATGAAAAATACTTTAAACAGGGAGGTGTTAGTGGTGCTGTGAAACAGTGGGAAATGTGTCAGTGCTGGATGCAACATTACCTGGGAGAAAACAACAGGACGTACATTTGTAGTTTGTCACTCCTGATAATATTTAAAACATTTACTGTCTTTATATTTAGAGTGATTCCGGTGAAAAAATACAAATAAAGTTTTTATTTCTTTTTTTTATTCATAAAAAGTATTTATTTATTTGATTTTACAGTTTAGTTTGGGTTTAGTTTTTTTAATAATTTGTAGACATCTGAAAATTTTAAATAATGAAAGTGAAGAGTAAAGCAAAAAGGGGCAATGCTGAATTTTTTTTCCTCAAAACAAGACACTGATGGTATGAAACATGAAGCAGGCCATCTTTGACCATGAAAGACCAGCTTTGAACAGAGACAGGGACTTATAAGATTACATGGCTACATTATCATGCAACTAAAGTTCATCAGGAGTGAGATGTGCTTAAAAGCATCTCACTGCAGTAAGAATTATGATAAACTACTGTTCATCAATCAGAAATCTACATGTCAATTTGTAGATTAGACTTAAAAGAGGGATGACAACATACACTGTATATTTTAATGTGGTGTTAAATGTGTAACAGGTACAGTGTGTACACACACACACACACACACACACACACACACACTGTTGGTATATGAGCTACCTCTTGTTGCAGCAGAACAACTGTACCTGCTTTGTCTCCTTGTAGCATGGTATAGTTATTTCACGAAGTGCCTCTTCAAGATTGAGGCTGAAATAATGTTGAAGAGGTCGGCACATCTCAATTTTAACACTTCCTGGCACAGATTGTCCATATGTATACCTAATTACATAAGAGGGTAACATCAGCATGTTGTTGAAAAGGAGGCATTCACTCAACAAACTGGACCTGTTCTGATCTTTTGAGTAGAATTTAGAAATAAGGGGTTTTCACTTACTTTGCACACACTTCAGCTTTGATTTCTTTCTGGAAAATACTCACTACATCAGCTGCATCTATTTTTACGTCAAATTTAGGCAGAACTGAGGACAAAATGTGGTTGTTGTCATTCTTGTTTCATCACAAAGAAGAGAAATGGAATATGAAACAACTGGTCATAACATAGCATACCATATTTCTCCACCTTGAAGCTGTGACGGTATTTATCTGACACAATGATTTGGTAGGTTCCTTCATGGGCCTCAGAGTTCAAAGAGTAAGAAAGCTGCAATATTTTACCACCGGATGTTTCATTTAGCCACTGTCCAATCCGGTTGTTTTTAGGATCCTGTTAAATAAAAATAAATAGGGGGGGAACATGTATTTTTCCCCTAAATAGGAAACTTGATACAAGGAGAATAAGTCACACAGGAATTCAGTAGTAACCATGCTGCAAATTGTTTTTTCTCCTTCAGTCATTACATTTAGACAACCAAATCAGCCATTGAAGACTTTGGCTGGTGACACTTCTAGAAAAGGTGGGAGGTGGACTTTGGCTTAACCTAACACTTTTTTTTTGTCAAGGTACATTAAATTGATTTAGGACAGAAATGGGACATATTGATAAAAAAAAAAAGTTTTGAAAAAAATCTTTGTGCTAAAATATTTTATTTCAGGGTCAAGCAGTTTATCGTTTGTGGTATAGACAATGTTACTATACATGGGCATCGTGTTGTTTGCTGTTCTTAAAGTAACTGTCCAGGTGTGTGTGTGTGTATTTACTTACCTCAATGTTGATGTTATTGTACTGTGGAAAAAATTATAAAATTTTTTATTAAAGGTCAAGTTGGTTTACATGGCTCTCATCATACAGTGTCCAATGAATCTGGGTTAGACATGTCAGTGTACAGGTATTTACCACAGAGTTCAACACAGTCAGAGTAGACTCTTATAATAATAAAAATACTTTTAAAATATGATACACAATATAATACACAATAATATTAAAAAGCTTCTGTACCTAATTCAGATTATCATTATTTTTAGAAAAAACATACACAGTTGTATTTTTTTTTTTTTTTTGGCAGTTTCACAGTTATCAAAGGAAATTCTATTATCAGCAACAAAGTGTTGCCAAAAGAGAAACTAATGGTTGGGGTTGATAGAATAATTACACTGTCAGCAAAATTATCTTAAGGTAGCACAGACAGATTTGCCTGGTTGTACTACTGATCCTTCTTCAGAAGATCATTGATTAGAGATGTAACTCTGGTTAAAGAGGACAACCATGTCAGTCACTTCACTGTTTACATCTTAGTTCATGGACAATTAAATTAAATCACAAATAGTGTAGGCTGCAGTCCAAACACTCACCAGCTGATTGGCAGGTCTGAGTTTCGTGTCCATTGTGACAACTCTGAAATGCACTGAGAGAAATTCAAAGAGATTAGAGGAAGTTATGACAGCTCATCTACAGCAATGTTAAACATTCTGTCAAATTACTGAAACTAACATGTATTGTACCCTCAGACATTAGATCTTTACTATCAAACCTACTGTATAGTACAAGTTCCAGATGATTAGAATAATAGCTATTTAATATATGCTAACATTACTTTTTACACCCTTGTGCAAATTGAAACAAACTGCAATTTCTCATCTTTTCATGGGTAGTCATGATTTTATGCAGGAAAAAGTTATAAATTTACATTTTTTGTTCCTTTTCCCAAGGAGACGTTTAATAATTTTCTGATGCAATAACCGGTAGATGATGTAAAACATAGCCTATACTATATCATCTGTGATTGCATTATATGCTTCACCCTCTACTGTCTCTTGATATTCTGTGAAACAGTTCATTTTTAGGACCTCTGTATGTAATTTGATTTGGCATTTTTACTGCTTGATTTTCATGTGTCACATCATCAGGCTAGAACAAACATGTTTCAATGTGATGCACAGTAAAAAAAAAAAAAAAAGATTTTAGAAAGTACAGGCTGAGTACGCCATACAAACCTACATCTAAACAGTAAGGTCACTGGTTTCCATATACTGTATAACATATGATATTGTGGCAATGGGTCAATGCTGGGTGTGTGTTCTCAATTGCTTGTAAAAAGGAAATGTGTCTATTTATGGTATATACACCATACTGTACAACATTATATATATATATATCATGAGTTGAAGGTTACCTGTTTGTCCAGGGAGGTAGATGGGTTTATCTGTTTGGACAAATGTCATGGGCTCATAGACTTGGATCATAACTTTCCTGACTTCTTTTGAATAAAATGTGTTGCCTTGTACTTCCACCTCAACCTTCTGCATCTCTTTCTTCTGCACCAGAGGAGCCTGTTACGTTATTTTAGATATTAGTCAAGAGAGACATTCAGCCTTACTAATAAATACAGTGATGAAGTAGTACTCAGATTGTTTACTTAAGCAAAAAAAGTAACAGTGTAAAAATACTCTGCTACAAGTAAAACTCCAGCATTCACAATGTTACTTAAGTAAAAGTACAAAAGAATTAGCAGAAAATATAAAGCACAGCATGCTCATGCAAAAAGGCACAGTGTTTGTTTGTTTAGGTTTTGCCATTCCTCTGATATCAAAGTTCACCTCTCCCACTTTACTTTTATATAATATGTATTCACCCCACCTAACTCTTTCAGGCTTTTACATAGTTTTGAGATACTTCTAAAACATGTATCAGCCAGAATATAGACTCTTAGAATACCAGAACAGGAGCCCAGTTTTTCCAGATCCTCTTTATTAAACAATGAACTTTGAAACCAGCTTGTCCCATTCTATAAATTTCTTATCTGGAATATCCCCAGGTAATGATAGAATGTTTTCTAATGTATAGAAAACAAATACAACAGCCTGGGGAGAGTACTCATTTTGATAGTTTCAGCATACTGAATTAATCCTGGCAAAGGGAAGCAGACTACCTGGCCAGGTTTTATTTTTAATTTTGTAAAGTAGTAGGTTATAATTTGCTGAGGCTAGTCTTGTGAGAGGCCCTTTGGTGTCTGTACACCTGAAGAAGACATTTCATATCATCTGCTCTTTGAGGGCATATTTATCAGAGTTGGGTGGGTGTATAATTAAAATGTAAGAATGGGGATTTATGAGTATTCAGTTTAGTTCAGGATACTCTGAAATGGATTAATACAAGAAGCGAGTGGGTTGGATGTGACAAGTACACTAGAGTGTCATCTGCACACAGTGCTATGCTGTGTTCTCCTGCCAGTGACATTACATGCATTTCATCATTGTGTCTAATCTGGTGACTCAGGAGTTCTGCAAAAAGAGCAAACAAAAGGGGGCTGATAGGGCAACCCTGAGGGCAACTTGTGCAGTATTTTATACAAAACTGACAACCTGATAGTTAACTTTTTCTGCACCCTGACCTAATATTGCTCCAGTATATTTATATGTATCAAAAAGTATAATGAACATATATTAACACATTTTCAAAAAACGTTTGTGTAAACCTGTCCGAGCTGACCTTAAATTGAACGCAAGTATGAAACTCTTCATTGGATGTGTGTGTGAGAAGGGTTGTGTTCTTCAATGCAGATATCAAATTGACAGTCATGACCAGAGCCTCATTGGGCTGAAGGAGACTTGCACAAAATTTGGCTTCCGCTCCAGCTTCAAGAACCGCAGGAATGGCCACCATGTACTGCCTACAGATACAGAATGGAAACAGCACCAACCTTGTATTCATGAAAACTAGTTAACACCAAATTACATACATAAAACCATGGTTATTTCAGACAGTACAGGTAA